GCCTCAGTGTCCCGCCCTTGTTTTCGCCCTCGCTTCCCCCCTCGCTCCAGGCCCCGCGCCCGGCCTCGTCTCCGCCCTCGCCGCCGCGTCCGCCCTCGCCCCCGCCCGAGGCCATTTTTAGCTCAGCCCTCTTTCTCGCCTTCGCCTTCGATCCCGACCTTGCTCTCACCGTCATCTCCGCCCTCGTTCCGCGTTCGTTCCAAACTTCGTTCCCGCTCTCGTTTTCGCCTTTGCTCCCGCCGTCGCTCCCGCCGTCGTTCCCGCCGTCGCTCCCGCCCTCGTTCTCGCCCTCGTTCCCGCCCTCGTTCCCGCCCTCGTTCTCGCCCTCGTTCTCGCCCTCGCTCTCGCCCTCGTTCTCGCCCTCGTTCTCGCCCTCGTTCCCGCCTTCGTTCCCGCCGTCGTTCCCGCCCTTGTTTTCGCCCTCGTTCCCGCCCTCGTTCCCGCCCTCGTTCTCGCCCTCGTTCTCTCCCTCGTGTTCGCCGTCGCTCCCGCCGTCGTTCCCGCCGTCACCCCCGCCCTCTCGCTTTTGTTCCCGCCCTCGCTCCCGCCCTCGTTCCCGCCCTCGTTGTCGCCCTCGTTTTCGCCCTCGTTCTCGCCATCGTTTCCGCTTTCGTTCCCGCCCTCTTTATCATCCACGTTCTCGCCCTCGTTCCCGCCTCCGTCCCCGCCTTCGTTCCCGCCGTCGTTCTCGCCCTCATTCCCGCCCTCGTTCCCACCCTCATTCTCGCCCCAGTTCTCGCCCTCGCTCTCGCCCGTTACCCCCTCCCCCGTTCCCGCCCCAGTTCCTGCCCTCGCCTCCGCCGTCTTTCTCGCGATCGTTCCTACCCTTGCCCCTTGTCCCCGCCTTCGTTCTGGGCACCTCCCAGGGCGCCCCCCGCGCCCCCGAGCCTTGCGAAAAGAGCGGCGCTTCTCCTTTGCGCGTCCTGCCCCCGACCTGTCCCGGGCGGGCGGCGGGGATCGGGGCGGTCACTGCGGTGCGCATCCTGTCGCGTCGCCTCAGCCGGCGGCCCTGAGGGGCGGGCCTCGGGTGAGCTTTTTCTCCACCCCAGCTGCCGTTGAGCAGTTTGGGGCAGGGCCGCGCTGGCGGGGGGCGCCGCCCCGCCCCAGCTCGCAGTATTTGGCAGCTTCTGTTGTTCTTGAAGACGCATGCGCACGGGGCCGACCCGGCAGCGTTCTGGGCCGACGCCGCGACATTGGTTTCGGCGGGCCCAAACCAAACCATACATCATTTTTACTGTAGAGTTCCCAGTCATACCTAACTCAGAATTGGGCCCCAGGGACAGAGTTACATCAGAGTTCCGGTCAAACCCAAATCGGAGTTGGTTCTGAAGGCCACAGTTGAACCTGCATTCCAGCGCAGACATGAATCATACCTTCATTCGAGTTTTGGTCCTGAACGGTGAAACGGCGCTTGCCCCCCAAAGGCACGCTCACCCTTGGGCCCCCCCGAAACATCTTGGGGGTGCGCGAAGCGTTAAGAAAGCGCCAGATGGGGGGCCGCCCCCCCCCCGCCCATTGTCCCGGACCCCCCGAAACGTGTTGGGGATGCGCAGTTCATCAAGAAAACGCCAGATGGGGGGCGCCCCCCCCTCCCCCCCCCCCTTCCCCGGCAAAGCCGCCCGGCGACCCCCCCCAAAACAGAGCTGAAGCTCTTGCTGAGGCTCAGAGCTGAAGCTCTTGCTGAGGCTCCGTGTTGTTCACGCCGGATTGGCGGATTTCTTGGGCATGTTTCAAAGATTTCGTCCGGCATCCGCCTGTAGGAGGACGTGCCCGACCTAATCGTTGCCTCTGGGGCAACCGAGCCCCGTCGAACAATTTACCAGTTCTGGCAGTTGGTCGCCGCTGAGGCCCGCGGCCTCCGCAGTGACGCGGGGCCCTCGCCTTTGTTCAGGCCATGGAGCTCGCGCGGCACACTCCCTGTCGAAGGCGTCGGCGTGCGAAGAAGGTTGCGCCGTCACCGCGTCCGAAGCGGTGGCGTGCGCTTGGGCTCGGAAGGAGGAGGTGGTGGCGGGTGGACGGGAGGAACTCGTGGCCAGGTAACATACCCATATCCACGGCCTCGCGGGCCGGGCCCGTCGGCCGCATGGATGCCCGGCATGTTTTCTCGCGGGCGCCCCGCGCGGAACGCATCCATGCGGCCGTGTATCTGCGGGGTCGCGCCGTGGATTCCAGGCCGCGATGGGCGTGGAGATGGACAGGTTCGCCGCTCGTGGGGTGTGGCCCGAGGACTTTGCGCAGGACGGGCCAGCCATCTGGTTCGAGCCGCTGCCCCCGATGTTGCCGAACCTGGAGCTGGTGCCGAAGTTGCCCGCTCAGAGAGTGCCCGGGGAGATTGACACCATCGGAGGCCTCTCAAGCGGGGGTGTCCAAGAAGGGCGTCCACTTAAGGGGCCCCAGCCCGTCCAGACCTCCAATCGGGGTCGTCCACGGGGGGGATGACGGTCTCATGGTTGGGGCCAGGATGTCTCCTGGATTTCATGGCGTCAGTTTCTTTTGTCAGTCCTTCCATGGCCCCCCCATCGTTCGCGCACGTGCCCCAGGCTATGAGGCGCTAGACCTCATCTGTTTCTGCTTTCCCTTTCGGGCGCACCCGAACCACAGGAGGATGAGGAGGTGGTACTCAGGAGTTTTTGCGGGGTCTGGGGGGGGGATCGTGCCCACCGCGCGTCCGCAGCAGGGGGGGGACGAGGAGGAAGGGAAAACATCGCTCCGGGGAGCTCCGGTCTAGGGGACCCGATAGGTTCCTTGGGAACTCCAGGGGGTCCGATCCCCCCCAATCGAAGACATACTTTTGGAGGTCCGCGCGGGTTTTTTGGATCGGTGCTGGACCCCCTAGTGGTGGCGGCGGTCAGGCACTAACGCCAACATGGGGCTGTCTCCGCTGGGGGAAGATGATCCCAGATGTTGGTGATGGTGGTCGTTTGTCGGCCACGTCAGAAGACCGAGCATTGCCACCGCCAACACCGAGATCGGGATCGCCTTCCCTCGGTAGGGGCAACCGCCGACACTGGTGTTGGTGCCAGCCTCCGGGCCTCCTGGTGAGCTCGACAGCCCGGTCGTGCCCCTGAGGTGCGGCCACGCGCAGAGGGTGTACGGGGAGGGGGGAAGGCTTCTTAGTCACACCCCTGCTCCTTGGAAGGCGCTGGCCTTATCTATAGATGTAAGTCCGGGGCCTTTACGAAGCAGGACGCTTCTCAGAAGCCTTCTCCCCCGGTCCCTACCCCCATCTGCTCGCCTCCAAAAGGTGCCCGGGCAGTACACCCTGGTGCTCGATCTGGACGAGACGCTCCTGCATTACTCCGAGCAGGACGGCCGGACTGGCGCGCCCCGGTGCGCCAGCCCGCTGCGCCTGCTGCCGTGCGCGTGTGCGCTCGCGCCCTCGGCCCACTGGGGCTCCGCAGGGCGGCCGCGTGGAGCCTTGGAGCCAGCCCGGGGGGCCGAGGTGGCCCAGCCTTGGTGCCGGCCAGCAGACAGTCGGGGGGGGTCGGGAGGCTTGAGACGGGGGTCAATGCAAACGGGGGTCAGCCAGGGCGCCAGATCTTGCAGGATTCTGCAGGGCCAGGGACGCACTGACCCGGGTTTGGGTGCAGGATCCCGCAGGGTCTTGCAGGATCCTTCGCACTGACCCGGGTTTGTGTGCAGGATCTTGCAGGATTTTGCAAGGCCTGACTGACCCGGGTCTGGATTGACCCCGGTCAGAAGATCCCGAGGTGGCCAAGAGGGGCCTCAGATTTCATGGCGCCTCTTCTTATTTCATTACGTCCCTGGCCCCCCCCCCCCCTGGGCCGCGCACGTGCCCCCGGCCATGATTTGCGCCCCCCCCTCTTGGGTGCTTTCCTCTTGGTCGCCCCCGAGAGGGGGGAGGAAGCCTCAAGCAGTGGCGAAACGTCCTGGCTTTCCTGTAGGCCCACCACATAATGTTTTTGTTTAGTGGTCTGCACAACGTGTTCTGAAAACATTTCTGGACCATGCTGCTTCGTTTTACCACATCGGGCTTGTGTTTAAAAACATGTTTTTGTTCTTAATTAGATCATTTTCCGATTCTTAGAACATCTCGTGGTAGGACTGTAGGAATGCCGGGACGGTCGGTCCCCGCTCAAGAAAGGGATCGTCACCACGGCTGGACGCGGCCCGGGAAGCTGGTCCGTTTCGACCCTGGGTGAAGCAGGGCCGATTGTGAGTGGTTATGCACTCGTCCCCCCTTCGTTGCCCGTTTTATCCAAGGGCCCATGTAGCGCATACCCACCGGCTGCTTCCAACTCTCGTCCCCCGTCCGCCTCGTCTGCGGCGTGTCGTCGGGCGAGGCCGTACCGTCGGGGCCACCACATCGTCGTCCTCCCTGTCCTCCACCTACCTCCTCCCGCGGTCGTCTGACTTGTGGCTGGAGGTCCAGACACTCTGCAGTCCGGCCGATCCTGGGGCGGAATCGGATCACCTTGGAAGACCTGCCTCGCGAGGTCTCTGTTGTGCTGTCCTGCACCTCGTCCCCCGTCTACATTTTGGCTGACCTGTGCGATCAGGGAGCCCCCGCCCGGCGCTCTCCCTCTCCCCTGTCCATCCCGTTCCGTTCATCTGCTTTTTCCTGCACCTCGTCCTCCCTCCTAATCCGGATGCCTTCTTCTCCGTCCGTCTCTTCCCCCATCCACTCATCCCCCGTTCAGCTGCCCACCCATCCTCCTCCCTTCACCAATTCACCCCTTCCTCCTCCTCCTCCTCCTCCTCCTCCTCCTCCTCCTCCTCCTCCTCCTCCTCCTCCTCCTCCTCCTCCTCCTCCCCCCTTGTCGTCGACCAGTCGCGAACCGCGAGCCCGGGCTCTCCGCACCCTGCATTGTGCTGGGCAGGAGTAGGTGGACAGCATCTACGTTTGTCTTGTTGTTCTGGGGGGAGGGGGCCAATCAGGAGATGGCCTTGGGTGTCTCCGGTCCTGCGCCGCATTATCCGCTTTCCAACCCAGAGGTTCCGCCTCGGGCGCTCGAGTTGTTTTCTGTGACAGTGGAAGCTTGTTCCGTTCCCTCTGGGCGTTCGGGCGTGCGTTGATCTTCTGGGCACCCTCGCTGTCCATCTTGTGTACAGTTTCGTAATTTTGCAGACGGTGCCAGGTTCTGTGCAGGTCCAATCGTGCTCCCCAAATTTCGCCTGCTTGTAACTGCTGCGGGGGATGCCCAGCCTTTGCCACTCGGAATAATTGCCGTCCTCGCGTTCACGCTTCGCGTGTCCCCACCAGCCCACCCAGACATGATAGCCAGCGGAGCTCGTATCAGGATCATGTTTCTTGAGGCCTCTTAGAGGCTTCTTGGGGCGTCAGCGGGGCCTCTTGGGAGACCCCTTGGAGCGTCATGGGTGTCTTTGGGAGGGTCTCTTGGGGATTCGTGGGGCCTGTTGGGTGCCGCTTGGGGGCCTCTTGGCCTCTTAATGCCTCTTGGGCGCCTCTTGGTGCCTTCTCGGGGCTCTTTCGGATGCTTTTCGGGCCGTCTTGGGGTTATCTTGGAGGCCGTGGGTCAAGGAAGGGAGGCGGCGCCGATCAGTCCCCCCCCTCCCCCCAAGATGCCAACATTGGACCAAGACATGGGACAAACCAATGAGGATGTACCAGGGGCGCCAAAGGGGAAACGCCAATGGCCGTGTCAGAGGACGCATTCGGGAACGTGCGCTGGCCGTGCACGGGACGTGCCAAGGCGCGTGCCAACAGGCAGGCCAAGGGACGTCATTCCAGGGGACGTGGCAAGGGGCGCCGCGGAACGGGCAGGGGACGCGCCTGAGGATAAAACAGGAAACGCGACAGAGGACGAACCAGGGAATGTGCCACGCCGGCGGGCGTGCTAGGGGACGTGCCAGGGCAACTCGTGCCAAAATGTTAGAAGGGTCGCGCCAGGGGACGGGCCAGCGCGCCAAGGGACGCCCCACGGACGGGCGGGGTTGGGCCGCCACGCATTTTATTGCGACGAGTGTTTCGCTTGAGAAATCTTCTGCGCGTCCTCATGTCTGACATCCGCTTGCGCGGCTTCGGCACGTAAAAAACAAACGTATCGTTCAAGGTATCCTCGACACATCTTCCGTGTTATGCATTTGTCTGTGCGACCTGGACACGTGAACACAAGCGTTTCGTTTGAGACTTCCAACCCACATTCTCATGCTATGCAGCCTCGGATACCCGAACACGTGGCATCAAGCGTGTCGGTCCAGACATTCTCAACACATCCTCACGTTCGTCATCAGCTTGAACGACCTGGACACGTGACAAATAGTGGTTCGTTCGAGACATCATGAATCCACCCACCGGTTAGACATCCGCCTGCGCGACCTGGGCAGATGAAAACGAGCGCTTCGCCAGAGACATCCTCTACACATCCTCACGCAAGGCATCCACTGGGCGACCTGGACACGTGAAAAACACGTCTCGCTCGATACATTATTAACGCATTTTCTTATGAGACATCCGCCTGGGCAACCTGGGCACGTGAATGCAAGCGTATCGTCCGAGACATCCTCTACACATCTTTATGTTAGTCATCGGCTTGGGCGACCTGGGCATTTGAAAACAAGCGTTTCACACGAGACATCCCCAACACATCCTCATGCTAGACATTCCCTTGGGCGACCTGGACTCGCGAAAACAAGCGTCTCGCCCGCGATATCCTCCACACATCCTCAGGTCAGACGTCTACCTGGGCGACATGGGCCCGAGAAACAAGCGTTTCGCTCGAGGTTTCCCCAACTCTGCAAAACGATCGTATCAATCAAGTCATCCTCAACAAATTGTGGAAAACAAGCGTTTCACTCAGGACATCCTCAGAAGCATATCCGCCGGCCTACCTGTCCTTATCATCCATTACCGAATTATTCCGCCGGCTCACCCCCCTCAAGTCGAGGTTGGGGGTAGAACATGTAAAAGACAACCCTGAGCCCACGCCCTTTTTGGGAAACGATCATGAGGAAACAAGAGCACACAGACATAATTCATCGTCGACTCCCAGGAACATGTAGGAACATGTGGGAACTTGGGGGGAAGACAAAAACATAGAAAATACTGGAAAATATGGGAATCCTGTTATCTGTGTGTATTTATTTGTGTGTCCCAGGGCCCTTCAAACGAAGCATGCTGTTTTGTGTTTTGCATCTGATGGTTGGGGGGTGTTGGCAACGGGCGCAGCAGGCAGCATGCCGCCCCCCTGCCGCCCCTGTCAAGGACCAAGGCAACCTGATCGCGGGACGTCCGGGCTCGTCGCCTATCGGGTGTGGGAGGAGGAGGAGGAGGAGGAGGAGGAGGAGGAGGAGGAGGAGGAGGAGGACCACCGGCGCCCAGCCCTCTGGGCGCAGGTGGTCTAACGAGACTCCTCGCATATCTTGCCTGCCTGCCGCCCGCCCAGCGCCGCGATGCGTCCCGTGACGGGCCCCTAAGGCCAACAAGAGCAGCCTCGGACGGAGACGGGCCAACCCTTGCGGCAACGATGCAAGAGGCTTGACCTACTCTGTAAGAACGGTTTTTTGAAGGCAGATTTGCCTTCCAAAAACCGTTCTTACAGAGTAGAACGGTTTTTTGAAGGCAGATCTGCCTTCAAAAAACCGTTCTTACAGAGTAGCCCGCGACGGGCCTCTAGGCCAACAGAGCAGCCTCGGACGGAAACAGGTCAACCCTTGCGGCAAAGATGCAAGAGGCTTGACAAGCCTCTGCAAGGCAGGCCCGAGAAACCAGAAGCTCGCACTGGGCGCACCGAACATCGGCCCCGTCAGTATCGGGGCTGGACAGAACCCCCAACAGTGACACGTCGATTGGTGAATTGTCCGTTTTCGGTGCTCGAGAGGGCGCCGTGGCCGTTATTTTCCAGGCTTGCGCCCGCCAGGTTTGGGCCTCAGGTCGTTTTCACTAAACCACGTTTTACTAAAGGGGGGTCTGTCCATCCCCGACAGTAACAAACTTGCGCGGGCTGGCCCATAAGGTGAAGAATTCTACTGATAGGGAGCAGTGGCAAATCTCTCCCCGTTTGCGGAAGCAGGGGGAGGATGGAAGAGACACCGCGTCAAACCCTTTGTGGCTCGATGGCTGGTGGGAATCTTCCTCTCCTCCTTCCGGGTGGGGTGCGAAAGGGAGGACGAGGAGGATGAGGAGGAGGACACCGAAGCTATCGTCAATCGGAAGGTGCTTGCGGAGTCTTGACATTCTTCACTGTCCGTTCATACCATTCCCCCCAAGAAGCGTTGGCGGCTGTTGAGAGATAATTCCATGACAGGACGGCATGGGCAGCTACAACACCAGGCTCGGCACCCTCCTCTTCCTCCTTCGTCCTGTATCGTCCTGCTCCACCTCATGCTCCTCTCCCTCCTCCTCGTCCTCCTCCTGCCGCCCTTTTGGAAGAACTGTGAAGATCGGCAGGCCTGGCATGCACGACTTTCTCGATAGGATGAACCAGCTCGGCTTTGAGCTCGTGATCTTCACTGCCGCCACGCAGGACTACGCTGACTGGGTGATTGATCAGGTAGATCCGACGGGTCTGGTGCACCACAGGCTCTACCGGCAGCACGCCCTCCCCTGGGGGCCTGTCTTCGTGAAGGACCTGGCTTGTCTTGGCCGGGACCTCGACCGCACCCTGATAATCGACAACGTCCAGGAGTGGTGGAAGGAAACAGAAGGCACGACGGGGACACGAGGAGGGGGGAGGAGGAAGACGAGGACAAGGGCGAGGACAATGGTTGAGGACGAGGAGGACGAGGACAACGGAAGACAAAGACGCGGAGGACGAGGATGACGAGGCGAATGGCGAGAAGGACGAGCACAACGGTGAAGGAGGCGAGGAGGAGGGGGATGAGGAGGAGGGGAAGGAGGTTGAGGGCCGCCATTATCTCAACCTGGCATCGCCCCACCCCCACCTCCTCCCGCACCACCCCCGCCTCCTCCCCTCTCTTCCCCCTGCCCCCACCTCTTCCCTTCGTTCTTCTCTCCCGTTTGCTCATCTTCCCGCTCCGGGCGTCGCTAGAAGTGCCCCTGGCTCAAGGTGCCCCCAGGATTTCCAAGGAGGCCCCCACGGCCTCCAGAGCACCCCTCACGAGGCCCACAAGGCCCAAGGGGCCGCTCCCAAACGGAGCGAAAAGCCAGGGGCACCTTGGGCCAGGGGCACCTCCAGCCATCCCCGACCGCTCGGCCCTCCATCCACCATCCTCCTCCTCTCCCCATCCCTTCATCCATCCTCCATCCATCATCCTCCACCATCCTCCTCCTCTTCTCCTCCATCCATCATCCTCCACCATCCTCCCCCTCCCCCTCCCCCCCACTGCTTCCCTCCTGCCCTCCCCCCTCCCAGCTCCGCCCAGCTCCGCCCACCCCGCCCGCTCCCCCCCGGCCCCTCCTCCCTCCTTCTGCCCTCCGCCGCCCTCCCGCCCTTCTCCCCTGCCCGCCGCTCGCCGCCGCCGTCCGCCCTCGCACCCCTGGCCTCAGGAGAACTTTATGCTCCAGCCGGGCAACGGCATCTTCATCCTGACCTGGTACGAGGACCCCCACGACACGGCGCTGTCGGCGCTGTCGCCCCTCCTGGAGGAGCTCCTCGCCACCGGCGTGCGGGCGCCGGGGCTCTGCCCGAAACGCTGAGCTCTCACTCCTTCTTCCTCCTCCCCCCTCTGCCTCCGCATCCTCGCCCTCCTTCTCACCGCCATCCTGTACAATTACACAATACGAATACTGCTCTCCTCTCTCCCCTGAGTCTGTCTGGAAGATGTTCGGCCCCCCTCTCCGCGTATGGTTTTTTTCACCAGATTCCGGGTAGTTTGGTTGTCCGATGTGTTTTTGACAGTCCGATTTTTTCGGTTCTTCAAAATGTTGTTCCCGCTGCAGCGTTGGCCCCATTTCTGCGCCTCTGGTTGTTCCAAATCGTGCTCCCGCTGCAGCGCGGGCGTTTTCGGTCCTTCCAAATAGGCCCCAACATCTAGGAAATGCCCCCCCGAAAAAAACCATCGGAAGTGATTACACATTCTGTATCGATTCACTTTGCGGCGTGAGCCCCAGCGGGAGCCCCATCTCTGATGGGAAGGCGATGTTGAAAGCAGGGCCCGCGGGTGCTCTCCATCAGCCCCGCCTTGTGTGGAGCTTTCCGGGTAGCCCAACGAGCTAGACAAGGAGCTACGACTCCAGACCGGCCCAGACCTCTCGAAGACGATCCACACACCCTTCAAGGAACCCAGCGCCACGCTATGACATGTTGTGCGGTGTCGTGTTCTGCGCCGCTGTGCGATGCCATGCTTTTCTGCGCCGCTGTGCGCCGCTGTGTGATGCAATGCTTCATTGCGCACTGCCACGCCATGCAATGGCATGCGACGCTCTGCCGTGCTGTTCTCTGCCATGCCATGCCGTGCTTGACCATGCATCGTGTACCATCTCGCGATCATTGCCCTGCTCGAAATCCGACTGTGCGAATAGAAAGGCTACCTACGCCATGGTAAGGGATGGAAGGGAGGGGTAGGACGTCAGATATGACGCGAGGTCACCTAGCTTGTCTCCCCCCCTTTCCACACCTCCCTCCTCCACGCCCTCCTCCTCCCCCTGGTCCTCGTCCTCGTCGTTGTCAGCCTCCCTCCTCGGTTTCTGGTCTTACCCCCTGCGTGCTCCGTCTCCAACCCCCTCCCCTCTCCTCCTCATCCCCTCCCCCCGATCCCCTCACTCTGCTCCCGATTCCCTCCCATTCTCTCGTCTTCCCTCCCTCTTCCCCCATCGTCCTTCCCCCTCGTCTTTTATCGTCCCTCATACTCCCTTCCTCCTTCCCTCTTCCCCCCGTCGTCGTCATGCCCCCTCATTCTCCCCTCCTCCCTCTTCCCCTATCGTCATCCCCTCTCTCCCCCTGTTTCTCCCTCCTCTTATTGTCTTCTCCTCGTCCGTTCCCGTCCCCAGCCCGCTGGGTGCGTCTCCGTTCCTTCCTCCTCGCCGCCCTCCCCCTCGCCGCTCTCCTCAGCCGTCGGGCGCGCCTTGCCGAACCGACGGGCATTTAAACCTCACATGTTCGAGGCCACGGCCTCCGCGCCATGCGCTAACGAACACGGGCGGGCTCTCCAGCGGAGGGTTCACGGCTCCAGCGTTCGATTCCTTCGGCGTTCCTGCTCGATGCCGTAGAACAGTTTTGCTAAGAAACATGGTGAACTTAACTATATATAGTTATATATAGTTATATATATATATGTATACATATACATATATATATATATATGTATATATGTATGTATGTAGGGGGGCGGAGTGGGCGTGTCACCTCACGTGCCGCGCCGGCGCCGTCTGGGAATGCCTAGGATGGACCACGGACAACTCGGACGTCAGCACGAATCGTGACGTTACCTGCGGGGGAGCGGCCGGGGCCGGTGACGGCCGCTATCGCGCAAAATGAACATCGCTCTACTCCCCCTCGCTGCCCTTCGCATCTTCCCACGCTCCCGGAGGTGCCCGACCTGCTCGAGAAGTACCGGGACCAGATCCCCGTCTGGGCCGGCTTCGACCAGGGCTCCCACCTGGGCACCGATTACACGGAGCTGGAGGCCGCCGACGGGTACATGGACGGCGGCTATGCCGACGGCTGCCCGGAGGCTGTCCTGGGGAGGGGCGGAGCGAGGGGGCAGGCCAGGGAAGGGCAGGGAGGATCGAAACACCTTGAGTCGGACGTGTCCTTCTACAGGGGGACGATCTGTCGACTATGTTGAACTATTGTTACATAATTCTTATATATATATAGATATCAACTTTCGGCTAACATCCGCCTGTAGGAGGACATACCCGACCTAAGAATAACCCCATGAAGCCTTATAAGAAGCCCCCCCCTTCCGGTGAAACGGTGACGCACCCAGCACCTTGAAGCGATATCCTGGCACCTTGGCACTTGGCTGCTCAGCACTCCTCTGGAGCCCTTCAACCCTCGAAAGTGGCGAGGAGGAGGAGCAGGAGGAGGAGGAGGAGTGCTTCTACTTCTAGTGCTCTTGTGTTCTCACCGCCAATCCTACTGTCGACGTCGATCGGTGGGGATAATCATTCAGTTTTGCGGTTTGGTGCTGTGCTAAAGCTATCGCTCCGCTGAATTCGGTGCTAACGATAACCCACGGGGGGTTCTTAATGGTTTCTTGAGGTTAACGGGCCGCGCGAACGGGCAGGGTAGGGAAGGGGTTGGTTCCGAGACCTGCTGCATGCAGCTGGCTTCCGCCCCGCCACCAGGCCCATTCCTCGACACATTGAGCGCCTGCCAGCGCCAGGAGGCGCCAGGAGAACCAGCTCCGTGGGCCGATCCTCCACCCTGCTCGTTGCCATCCGACCGCTTGGTCCCCCCCGAGATCCGACCGCTTGGTCACCACCCACCAAACCACCCCAACCCAACCCGAAGGCTCAGATTTACCCTCGATTTCCAGTGGGGGGGGGTCGGGAAACATCGAAAAAGCACGTGTGGAACCCTTACCCCCCCCCCAACCCGAAATTCGGGTCTTGAGGTTGGGTTGGGGTGGTCTGGTTGGTAGTCCACTTGGTCCCCCCCGAGAATGAGAAA